CTGCTGGAACTCAAAAGCTGGATATTACAAATGGTATACAGATGAAGAAACTGTGCTCTAATGGATCATTTAAATAAAAATGAGGCCCTTAGTAAGTTCAGATTCAGCCATAGGGCTTTGAAGAAATTCCAAGTGACGACTGTGACATGGCAGGTACACAAGAAAATGCAGAATGGCCACAATATTTTATGAGTCTGCCATATTTTTCCCACAATGCTCTGACAACACTTTTTACAAAGAAGAATACCTACAGCCCTTGACATGCAGAAAGGGAGGGGCTCTGATATCCATTCTGTAATGGGGTAAATAAAAAGCCTGGATCTGAACCACCCTATAATTCTGAGAATACAGATCTGATTTTTACCAGCTTGAGCCCATTTTTAGGATTCCAGAAAGAGCTGTGCATTTAATGAGTAACAAAACAAGAGCTGCAATAAAAAAAAAAAAGAATCTCCAGGCTTTTGGGAGGAATATAAGCTCTCTAGTTTCAAGACAAAAAAGCAAACTTTACCCTCTAGGCAGAAAATATTCCCATGAAAAGTACATAAACATCTACTCCAGAGTTGCTTGATTTTTCTGCTAAAGCTGGGGCATTCAACTGGTAGCCTGTGGGCTGCATGAAGCTCACAAGGGACAAGTGAAAGGGCTGCGGCTCCTGCCTGCCCACTGCTCCCCACATCGCTCCAGCTGCAACAGCAGCCATTCTCCAAGCTTCCCCTCCCTCCTCTAGCTCCTGCTCGCATCCCCACCCCAGGGCACTGCATGGCTCAGGGAACTCAGGGTGAGCCCAGAGTTGCGTGAGAACATAGTGAAGCTGTGGGAGGAGGCACCCACCTGGGAATGTGATGCTGCAGTGGGATGCCCTCATGGGTTTGCAGTGCAGCGGTTGGGATGGGGAAGGCCATCTGATGAGGGGCCCCTGGCTTGCTCTGGTGCAGCCTGTGGGCATGTGATCACCAGCCCCTTAGAAGTTAGCAGCCTTATTCTACAGCATTTATTTTTAAATCTTAATCAAGACAGATTATTGGGTTAAACAACCATAGAATGATCCAAGATGGAGTCTCGTAACTACTGTAATGTGGCTGGTATCAAAGGACAATGCAAATGCCCCACAGTACATCTGATGGGTCTGCCATACTTCCTACATTCCTAGTAATTTTAAATTCAAATGAATTGTTTTACCATGAGCTGTGCTATTAAACTCATCAACCAAACCAGAATTTTGCTGCACAACATTATTTTTAAATGTACGTTTTGCAAATAAGATCTCTCCTTAACTGCCTGTTGTGAAAAAGAGGGCAGTCTCGCGGTCAGGGCAGCTATATAATTGTAAATTCATTAGTTATACCTCATTTGGACTACTGTGAAGTAATTATGTAAAATATTTCACACAATACTTTAAACCCTTTAAATATTTTTATAACCAAGCAGCAAGAGCAATTCTACGAGATAATTTTCATAAATATCATTGTGAACTGTACGAGAGGCTGTTCTAATTACCTCTCGCAAACTGGCAGGAGAAATGTCTTGCCACTACTATTTATAAGTCTCTAAATGATCTGGCACAAAATTACTTAAAAGAACAAATTAACTTTCAATTCAATGTCCATTCATCAGGTCAAACACTGATAAATGTGTTTGCTCTACATCTTAGAGAGACAGAGGACCAGATTCTGATGTGCCCTTCTATTCATGTAACACAGGAGTAATCCCATTAATGTCAACTAAATTAAACCAGCAGAAAATAAATCCAAATCAAACTTAGATTATCTACTTTCCCTTTTAAGGTCTATAACCTTTCTTGTCGTTTTGCAATTGTCTTAGCTAAAATCAATGGTGGCATTTAACAAAGAATCTTCATTCTTATTACAAGAAATGTGTTAAGTTCTTAATAACAACTTCTGAATACATGAAATAGCAGACCTGTTTCAATGGCTATACACTACATATGCAGGCACTTTGTTACTATTTGCATTATGAGGCAGACTCAACATAAAGCAGGTCCCATTGTTTCAGCTTCTGTGCCCACATACACATGCACATACACACGAGACACACACCCCATCTAGAATCTACTAAAATCTAACACTAAGTGTCTCCCTCCTGCTCTTTCTTCTACCTCCTCAGCACTTAAAAGTAGTTCATCAACACATTAAAGGTTTTCAGGAAGTTTCATATTAGTTTTGGGCTGAGAAAGATTTTAAATATAAAATCAGCAATACCAAAACAGGAAATCAACAATCTTGAAAAACTGTTGCTCATAGAAGTCGTTGAAAAGGACTTGCTTCAAGCCCTTGAATAGGGAGGAAACTTTCATGAAAATTCTCTAGGAAGGAGGATGATTAGCTCTACCCACTACCTGCTCATCATTTCAGACTCAAATAATCACCATCTTCCCATCAACAGATGACTTGCTTTCGGGTTTTGTTTTGGATTTTTTTTTTTTTTTTTGGTCTTTTTTTTTTTAAACTAGATTTGCAATCCAGCTACTTTAACATTTGCTGACAACACCATTTCCAATAGGTGTGGGTATCTGCTAAGGTCCCCCACCTACTTCCTAGATATAGCATTCATTAATACCTGTAGCCTCTAATTTTCTACCAAAGGTCATTAGTAAAAGTTGATTCTATGCAGTTGAACTAGAAGCTGTGAGCCTCTAATATTCAGTGTGTGTGTTTCTAAAAAAACCAGTCAGTACATGGTTTTAGACTACGTGCAGTTCATCCCTGCAGCATTCCTTCTTTTCAGTCTTTTCAAAGATGAGGGTTTGGGTGTCCAAATGGCTGGCTGCTGCCTCTCATTGCTTTCCAGTTCTTTCCTGGTGGTATGGTAAGGAGGTCGGCACTCTTTGCTCAGATACAGGTACTACTAAAGAATACGAGGCAGTTGAGAGAAGGAGGGCGACCACGGGATGCTCCTATCAGAATCAACTTTAAGGCAGGGAAAGGAAGTACGCTGGGGATAAGCTGAAGGATGAGAGGGTGCAACAGCAGGGTGAAAAAATTTGCATAGAGGGCAGGTATATTAAGTTTTGGAGATCCAGGGAGAACACCTCTACTATTACTTTTTTTTTTTTTAATAGAATAGACAACCCATCACCTTTGTGATAGCAAAGCCTTCTGAAGTGTTTGGGTTGGTCCATGTGTACCTCATTGCAAACAGGCTAGAGGAAAGTGGGGATGGATATACCTAACTTGCTCTCACATATATGGGCATTTATTTTAATAAACCATGCGTGCATGTATACAGTGTGTAGATACTGCTGCTCCTCTTCTATTCTCCAGCAGCCTCCAGAATGCCATAACTCTGGACCCTCCTATAAGACCTGAATTTATTTTACTGAAAAGTTTCAAAAGGGCAGAAAGACTAACAAGCCATGACGAGGTCAAGAGGCCCAGGTACTCATTTATACCACATCTCTCTGAGAGGAGATTGTGAAGGTCAAAATGTTACAGCTGCAGCTTCATGCTAATCATCCACTCACCTCACAATCTAGCACTTCCACTGAAATGCTATTTTATATTCCATGTTTGTAAGTGTCAGTGTAAGAAAATACTGCTTACAGTTTACTTCAGAATGGCTGTCACTTTAAAACCCAAGTGGCTGTCAGATTGCCTTTACCCACTATTATTTACCTTATTTTCCTCATGTAGAACAGAGATAAGCCTATAAAAATGGCCACTCAAACATTAATGCACCAAGCATTTTCAAATTTGCTCCTTTTCCCTTCCTCATTTGCAATCTCCAGACTGATGTAATGAGAGCTCTATGAATTCCTCATACACTGCTGCATGTTTTCATTTGGGTACTGAAATAATCCAGATTTTGTTTCTGAGGCTGGGTAATCGCCTCTCTCCCTTACACAAACTTGAAAGAGAAAAGGATTAAAAAGCTCTTTGCCCTGCTGTATCCAAATGTAAATGCAACCCAAACTCAGGAAAGAGGGGTGACCAATCAGAGAAAGTAACTGGGCCTCAATTCAGAACAAGAGCATTTTCCATTCTAAATGCATTATCTTTGAAGACTGAAGTTACTTCTCTCTACAAGGTGATGTCTTCATGGAAGGTCTTTCTTACTTTTTGTTGTGAATTAAAATATCAGACCAAACAATGCACTGAGATAGACTGACTTACTTGATCAAGGAAGATCACACTATACTGGGAGCCTTTGTATCACTAGACTGCTGCTGTTTTGGAAAGAAACACTCTCCAAAACTATGAAGAGAAATAAGGCAGAAAGAGTTATTAAGACTGCTATTAGTGGAACAGGTTACAAGGGCTTTTTACCCCTTGTTTTTGCCCAACTTGTCCTTCTGATCACAGGTGTTAGTTAAGTGCTACTTAAGTTCAGTATTAACATAATATGGTCCATTAAGTGATGAAGGAATCATCTTACTTATTGGCACAGTCTGTGGATCAATGGGAATAGAAGACCCATATTAAAACAACAGGTACCACCTCACTGGTTTTGTGCCAGATGGCTGCGTTACAGAGGTGATGTTCAGGATGTCTAGGGAAGGAAAGGACAAAATCTCTCTCCCCAGCACCCTTTACAACAAAACCTCTTCCTGTGGAAGCTGGTGCTGTGGCACTACTGCTGACAAGTTCATTCAGAGAAAGTTATTCTAAACAGAAGTGATTATCCAGAAGAGAAAGTGGAAAACCATGACCCCTTGGAGACAATATGCTCTGTATTAAAAAGTCTCATTGGTAGAGTGAATAGAGAAAAGCATGCAGAAAGACACTGTAGACCCTCTGACAGTTTCCCCAATGTGTTACTGTTATATCAGCTATCCTGATTTTCAAAATATATTTAATATGTTCTGCTTTGACAGTCTGTGTCCAAGTTAGAAACCAGTATTTTGTAACTTGGATAAGTATCCAGAACTCATAAGAAAGGGGTCTTTTACTTCATATTTCCCTGTAAAAAAATTAAAATCACACAAAAAAATAACTCTTGCTGCTAGATATGAACTTTAAATGTCATATAAAAGCACAAACCTGTGGGGGCCATCAGGGTCACAGTTAGGTAGAAAATTGGTGACAGCTTCTGCCACTTCTTCATTTAATAATACATCCCAGAGTCCATCAGTAGCCAAGATCAACACATCATCTGGTCCATGCTCATACTGCTGAAGGTCATAGACTTTCACCTAAAATCAAAAAACAGGGAGACATTCACTTCCATTAAGGAAGAAAAACTCAATGCATGAAAACCTGCTGATGGTGGTCTTGATTTAGTAGACTAGGAAAGGGCATTAAAATAAATCTCACATGAAGCAGCTAGGCTCCATTCACACTAGGTCACCTTGATGGAGCTCTGTTGGGTCCCGATTCAGGAAAGCATTCCCTACTTCAGTAGAGCACTTGGCAAATTCTTAAGTGTTGACCTGGACCTGGATGGACTTAAACATTCCTGAGCTGAGGCCACAATCACTGTGTTATGTTGTTAGTAAGGATCAAAGCAATCAAAGCTTCTCCTCCCCCAGCTCTGTCTATGGATAGGCTTTGCATTGTAAGCTCTTTTATCGGTTTGCCCTGATCCAATTAAATATGCCAAATACACCACACACATTCTGCAGTGCTTGTCCAGCAGAATAAAGTATGAGTATAAAGTTTTTCCTACAGCCACAATCCAAAAGCAGTGCTTTAATCTGAGCATGTGAGTAGTCCTGTTGAAGAGCAGGGGACTATTTAGATGCTCACTAAAAACTAAGCATATTTTATGTGCTTTGTTGGAGTGGGGCCAGTTTGCAGAACCATGTAAAAACAAGCCATAGGGTTAAGCTATTTCCATAAAATGCCCATTGACTTTGTTAGTTAGTCTGGCAGTGTGACTGCAGCCTTGACCCTTGAGTCTGTACTAGGGTTTGAATATTGTAGCCAGGAAGGCCCCTTCTTCCTCAGGCTTGAGGAAGGGTATCTTGTGCTGAAAAGCTTGCATAACACCACTCCAAATATATGGTTCATCCACTAAAAGATATCACCAAAACCTTGCTCTTGAAGCCTGTGACATCTGCCTTTAAAAAAGCTTCCAGTACCACCTCCTTGCCTGACCTGTCTAAAAGGTGGGATTGAAGGGGTTAACTGAGTCAGCCCATAAGTTTCTGAAATGAGTCTTGTTGGATGCAAGTCGTCTTCCAGCCAGTGCTGCATTCCAACTGTCAAACTGCCTGCTGCTTGAATTCCCAAACTAAAACTTGGAGTCCGCCTGAACCCCTCGCAGAGCACTTTAATTACCCCAGCAATGACTGTAATGAGAAAGAAGCGTGACCGCCTTGGCAAGGAAGACGAGAGGAAATGATGATCTGTATTAAAATCTTGAAAGAGTGCACCTGGTCACACATCCTGCTTCATCCTTGTGCTTCAGTAACCGCAGCAGTACTCTGCAAATTTGCTGGGACATGTACTTGGCACAGCTAGACGACAAAGTTGTTTTACTCTCTCCCAGCATGCTCTCCTCTCAAGGGATATGGAGCAGGAAATGCACATAAACTGCTCGGACCTTTTAATGTAATTACGATTTTATGGGACTGCAACCAATATAGGAGAAACAATCATCTAGATCGCAGTGCTAATCCTCACCATTTTGCTTTTCACTCAAAAGAAAGACAGTCGTTTGTAAAATACCACCTTTCCTCCATTATTTAAGGTGTGTCCAAAATAGGGCTTTGGAGAGAATCAGCTAAAGACAAAGCCAAATTACTTATCTCTCTTTAGCATATGATTTATGTCTACTAGTAATACAGGTCCCCTCCCTCCGGTTATGGATGCTTAGCTTTTTTGCTCTAGGTATAACAGCTCATGCTTTCATCTCAAAGCCACTGGTTCAGTTCATCAGTGTTTTGATCAAATTGGCAGCTGGCATACAAAGGCACATTTTGGTCAGATCCCCTGGACATCAGCAACACTGACGCACATAGTAAAATAAGCTACTGAGAAGATAACAATAAACTACTATCCATTCAGCAACAAATCATTCAGAATAAAAATTAAAAATGTCTAAATAAGCACACTTGTTTTTTAAATACATCTCTGCCCTCTCTCCCTCACCTATGCAAAGAAAGTTCAAATTAATCAACACATGCCTTTTTGGTAGCACTGGGAAAAGACAGGATAGGTTCGACTGTATTCCTACTAGAGTTGATAGCAAAACTCCTGGCTTCACTGAGAACAGAACTGGAGCCTACACTTGTGTTCTCCACCAGAGCACAATCCTATCAAAACTGCAACTGATCTAGCACATGAAAGGATGAAAAATATACAGCAATGTAGATTTCAGTACAATGATGGGAAGGTATTTTAATTTAAAAAAAAAAAAAGACATTCTGTGCATTTTATATGGCTGAAAACTGCTTATCTCCAACTTACAGGTCATTTGTCTCAAACTTCCAAGCCATCCTCCACTGGCTGACCTTACACTCACCATGATTCAGGAAATTAACTAGCAATGAAGTTTAAATGAAGCGCCAGGGAATTACAGGCCTATCAGTCTGTAATCAGTCTATCATCCATCCCGGGAAAGAGCTTAAAGAAAAATCAAGGGATCCATCAGCAACAGGTTAACAGAAGGCAACCCTCTGAATGCCAGCCAACATGGTTTTATTACTGGAAGGTCTTGCCTGACCAACTTCATCTCCTTCTATGGCCAGGCGATGCATTTTCTGGACAAGGGAGATAAGGTTGATCCTATATATCTGGATTTCAAGAAAGCCTTTGGTTTGGTTTCCCATGATGTCCTCACAGTTATGCAGGGGAACTGCAGCCTTGACCATCTCACGGTCCAATGGCTGGGGAACTGGCTCCGGGGTCGGACCCAAAAGGTACTAGTTGATGGGAACAAATCTATGCAGCACAGAGTTACCAGTAGAGTGCCACAGGGCTCGGTACTTGGGCCAGTACTCTTCTACATCTTCATTAATGGTCTGGATTCGGGCATCAGATGCAGACTGGCAAAGTTTGCAGACAACACTAAACTATGGGGGAAGGTGGCCACACTGGAAGACAGGCTGGGGATACAGGCTGAGCTGGACATGCTCACAAGGTGGGCAGACCAAATCCCAGTGGCATTCAATGTAGAGAAGCGCAGGGTGCTCCACCTTGGGAGAAAAAACCAGCATCATACTTACAGGTTCATCAGTGCTACGCTTGCTAGCACCACAACCAAAAGAGACTTGGGGTCTTGATTGACCACAAGATGAACGTGAGCCAGCAATGCAATGCTGTGGCCAGCAAAGCAAATCAAACTCTGGCATGCATCCACCAATGCATCTCAAACAAAACCAGGGACATTATCCTCCTGCTATACTCAGCCTTAATGAGGCCACAGCTGAAGTACTGCATCCAGTTCTGGGTCCCCCACTTCAGGAGGGATGTGGATAAGTACAAGAGAATCCAGAGGAGAGCCACCTGTATGATCAAAGGCCAAGAGAGCAAGCCTTATGAGGAGAGGCTAAGGGACATGGGACTCTTCAGTGTGGAGAAGAGAAGGCTCAGGGGGGACTTGGTAGCAGCCTATAAGTATATAAGGGAGGTACATCAGGATCTGGGACAAAAGTTGTTTACCAGGGCCCCGCAAAGGATAACAATGTCTAACTGCCACAAACTCATGGAAAGCTGATTTAGACCGATCATAAGGAAAAACTTCTTTACTGTTCGAGTGTCCAGCGTCTGGAACAGACTCCCCCCTGCTCTGGACTCATTCAAAAGGTATTTGGATGTTTATCTTGATGGAAACATTTGATCCCAGTTGACTTTCTGCCCATGGCAGAGGGGCTGGACTTGATCTCGGGAGGTCCCTTCCCACTCCTAATGTCTATGAAATCTATGTTACGGCCACACCGCTTGTGTGCAAATGGATACTGTACAGATAACATGTACAGTATCTATCCCTGAGGACGGAAAAGGGCCAATGTGGTGCCCATTTTTAAGAAGGGGAGAAGGGTGAGCCGGGTAACTTTAGGCCAGTCAGTCTTACCTCTATCCTTGGGGAAAAAAATCATTGAAGAGTGCATTTGTGAAGGCCCAGCAGGGGAAATGATGCTGAAAGGAAACCAGCATGGGTTTGTCACAGGTAGATCCTGCCTGACAAAATTTATAGCCTTTTACAACAAGGTCACACACTGCCTTGACACAGGAGCTGAGGCAGATATCATCTACCTGGACTTTAAGAAGGCCTTCAATACAGTTTCGCATCCTATTCTCATAAGGAAGCTAGCAGGCTGTGGAGTGGACACTAACACAGTCAGGTGGGTGACCAACTGGCTTAGGGACCGCACCCAGAGAGTGGTGGTGGACGGGTCATTCTCAGCCAGGAGGGAGGGGGGCAGTGGGGGCCCGCAGGGTTCGGTCCTTGGACCAGTGTTATTTAATATCTTCATCAACGATTTGGATGAGGGTGTGGAGAGCACCCTCTCCAAGTTTGCAGATGACACCAAGTTATGGGGCAAGTTAACACACCGGAGGGCAGGGAGCGGATACAGGCTGATCTGGACAGGTTGGATCAATGGGCAGAATGAAACAGGATGCAATTCAACAAAGACAAATGCAAGGTACTCCACCTAGGGAGGAGGAATCCCCAGCACACCTACAGGTTGGGGGATGACCTCCTCTGCAGCTCAGCAGCTGAAAGGGATCTTGGAGTCATAGTTGACTCCAAAATGAACATGAGCCAGCAGTGTAATGAAGCCATCAATAAAGCCAATCGCACCTTATTGTGCATTAACAGATGCATGAGCAACAGATCAAGGGAGGTGACGCTCCCCCTCTATGCGGCATTGGTCAGGCCGCAGTTGGAGTACTGTGTCCAGTTTTGGGCGCCGCGCTTCAAGAGGGATGCGGAGAATCTGGAGAGGGTCCAGAAAATGGACACTCGTATGATTAGTGGCCTCTGTGCAAAACCCTATGAGGAGAGGTTAAGGGACCTGGATCTCTTCAGCCTTCACAAGAGATGTCTGAGGCGAGACCTTGTAGCAGCCTGTAAGTTTATCAAGGGAGGACAACAGAGAATTGGAGATGCACTATTTACCAGGGCACCCTTAGGAGTAACTAGGAATAACAGATACAAACTAGTGGAGAATAGATTCAGGTTAGATATTAGGAAGAAATTTTTCACAGTAAGGGTGGCCAGAATCTTGGAGGTCTTCAAGAGGAG